TTTCCCCCCCCTACTTTTGGAACTTATATCAGCATGTTGGGCACTCTTGAAAAGTCCCATGGGGTGTGTTCATGGCTTCTTAAAAGAAGGGACATTGGAGATGTCCACTGAACAAAGAGTGACTTGACTTCATCCATCCATTCTGGGTCAGCTATCAAGTTGTTTATGTTTTAGGAGGGAAGGGTATTAGATCCTGAAAGGATTTGGCCTCGGAGATCTTGTAGGGCAAAATGTTTTCCCAGACACTACACTAGATGATGCAAAGATCCCCTAAGTAGTGTTCCTCAACCAGTGGCTTACATTCGTCAGGTTATATTCGGGACAACTTTTCCCAATGACTTGCTCTAGACTGCCCTCCTCCTCAGAGATTCTGGTCCCTCAGATTCTGGGGGTGGAGTATAAGCATATGTAATTTGGTGAACAAATATTCCCAGTTGATTCTGATACTTTCACACCATGCTGGGAAACACTTCTCTAAAGGTAAATGGAAAAGTCTCTTTATTTGGCCTCACCTTTGATTCACAATGTGCTGGAGATAGCCTGTTTGGAAAATGTCACCTGATGAATTGAGATTGAGGAGAGGAGAGCCACATTCCCATATGCTGCCTGGGGTTGGGGAGCCCTGAAGAAGCCTCATCTTGGCCAGCCCCCTGCAAACAAGACTTTCCCTTCTCTGCTGAAACATGTCCACCCATGAAAGACTAGCTCATAATATGGCTTGCCTTTTTGATTGCCTCTCCCTAAAGAGCTTTCCTTCTCTGCTTCATTCATTCATTGTCTGGATGATTTGTTTGGCTATTCAATTAGCTATTGATGGTCTAGCTTCTATTTCTGCTGAATGCAGTTTGTCTTATATTGCTATTTAATGTTTCACTGATTTCTGTCTAGTAGAAATAGTGCTGATTTGAATGTTAGTTCTGACTTTATTTCTAACTGTGTATCCTAAGCAAGTTGGTAAGCCTTTCTGGATTTCAGGGCCCCACCTATACAATTCCACAGTTCTCTTTCTTACCTCACCCTCAAGCTTAGGTTTTTACACAATGATGTTCACTTAATTTTATTTACATTTTTTTGAGAGAATAACTATAGTAGACATTTTCTAACATGGTTCCCAGGGACTCTGCATTCTGACATTCATGCCCATATGTAATCCCTGTCCATGAGTGTGGGTAGCACCCAGTAAATATGGCAAAAGGATTAGATGAGCTAGAAGAGACTGTGACTTCTGTTTTGCCAGCGTTCTCTCTCAGGCTCTTCTCACAGGCTTGCTCAGATGGGGAGGTTCACGTGGGAGGATAAAGGGCGGCCTCTGGTCAAGAGCCAGCAAGTGACTAAGGCCTCAGTCCAACAGCCTATGAGAAACCAGCTCTTACCAAAACCACTGAGTTGTCTTGAAAGTGGATCCTGCCTCAGTTGAACCTTGACATGACTGCAGCCCCAGTCAATGCCTTGTGATTGCAGCCTTGTGAGAGAGGCTAGCTAAGTCATGCCTGACCCACAGAAATGGTGATATAATAAACACATGTTGTTCTAAACTACTAAACTTTGGTGTAATTTATTATGTAGCAATATGTAACTAATACTATCTATGAGATGGATTGATGGACTGATGGACATGGTAGTTTATCTACCTGATTTGGTCCTATTGAGCTAAATTGTACTACAGGCCGAAACTGGTTTGGCTCAGTGAATAGAGTGTTGGCCTGCAGACTGAAGGGTCCCTGGTTCGATTCTGGTCAAGGGCATGTATCTTGGTTGCGGGCACATCCCCAGTAGGAGGTGTGCAGGAGGCAGCTGATTGATGCTTCTCTCTCATCGATGTTTCTAACTCTCTCTCTCTCCCTTCTCTCTGTAAAAAATTAATAAAATATATTAAAAAATATATTCTACTACAGTAAGAAATGACCCCCAAAGTGGCTTATATCCACATGAGTTTATTCCTCATTCTCACTATATGCCCACTGAAGGTGGTTATAGCTGTGCCCGACATTTCCTTCCCTCCAGAACCCTCTATAACCCAAGTTGATAACAGCTGCCTCTATCTGGAATATTGCCAATCACCATGGAAGAGGAAAGAGAGCAGGCGAAGTATGCACTGGCTTTTACACCTTCCCCAATGAAAACAATGCACCATACTTTTGCTTGTATTTCACTGGCCAAAGTGAGTCACATAGTTGATGAACGTGGCCCAAAGTCTATTCCTCTTCCAGGGAGCGGCACTAAATATCTGTGAATAGTAACACAGCACCATTTGCCATCGTGCAGTGGGTTAGGGGGAGTGGTAGCCACAGACTGCCATGATATACAGAAAAGAGAAGGAATAGCTCACATGGACAGCTGAATGGGTGTGGTGGCCCCAGAGCCTAAGATAAGAGAGTACAATTGAATAGCTATTTTCTTCATAGAAAAGGGCGAAAATGAAGGGAATATGGAGCACTGAGGAGAGTTGAAGTGTTTTGTTTTGTTCCTTTAAGCACCCTCAAAATCTCCATAGTTACCTCCCTAAGGCCGTTCTAAAACAGTGACTCTATGGCAATAAAGCTTTAGGACATGCATCCTGGCCCTCCTCTTCAGACTAGATAGCCTTCCCTAAGCTCTTGAGGCTTCTGTATATACATATATACGCCTCCCTTGCCTATAATCCCATTCATCAAGTTGAACTGGATCTCCAAACAACTGTTTTCCAGCAGTCAGTTGGATAGGAGAGGGAAACTTGACACATGACCTTGGGCAAGCCTGCCGTGTATGGATTTCAGTCTTCTCAAAGTCCAGTCTAATCTCACCTTCCTGAGAAATAAGCACAGTCCCTGTGGACTTCCTGCAAACGCTGGAGGAGCTTACGGAACTGTTGCTAGCCCATCCATCTCAGAGGCCTTGCCAGGTGGCTTTAGAGAGGCCCTTTGATGGGAAGTGCAGAGATCTGGCTTGCAGAGCAGGAGGAGCCGGGCCTGACTTAGCTGGTAAGCCAAGCCACCACGATGGATCTGTCGTTAAAACCAGAATCAGCTTAAATTGCTGACACGCGGCAGAGAAATGTCAGGGCCAGAGATCCCCTAAAAAAGTAAAGGAGAGATTTGTTGAGGATCCTTCTGCCTATAAAAAATACGTTTGCCCTCAGGCTCTGCCTGTTTGGATCATACCAGATGGTATTCTGTTTCTCCTGAGGTTAGAGTTTGTGTCAAAAGAAATAGACTTCACTTCGATGAGTTCTGAAGGAGGCATGAAGGAGTCCTAGCATCGCGGTTTAAAAACTGACCTTAGATGCCGTCTAAGCCAAACTGCCCAGCACAGGAGTCACTCCCTCATGTCCACGGCCTGGAAATTGGTGCTCAGGGACAGGTTTGACCTTCCTGAGATTTTTTAGGAATCAGTTCTGTCTTAGTTTGCTTTCCACATTGCACCATAGAGAGTGTGAGGGAAAAGCAGTGGAATGTGTGTGACAGGAGTGTGGAGACAATACCCTTCTTCCTGGTGATACAAGCTTTGGATTTGGGGAAAAGATTTCCATTTTGCAGATGTAATGCTCTTGGTTGCTGCAGGAAATGTTGAGAGAGGCCGTTGTCTGTAGTCTATTTCTGAAACTGATTGCCTGTGAAACAATTCCACCCCTCTCTGGCATGCTTTACCGCTGGCTGGTGGTGAATTATGGAATAGAGGAAGGCAATGGGGAGTGGGGTAGGGCAGGGTAGGGGGTGGGGGGTGGAGAGGCAAGAAGAAGGCCAGAGCAGCTTTCCAGGATTGAGGTGGTAGTAACAGGGATGGAGAAGAGTGGATGGATGAACTGAGGAACAGTTTGAGATAAAGAGGATGTGGTGAAAGTAGGAAAACATCACCTCTCCTACAGGAACTTTCATTTGTATTCAGGCTGTAAGGACCCCAATCTTTTAAAATACAGTCTCTTCACAAGTCACCGAGGACCTGGCTCACTCCTGACTCCTGATGCTGGAGATATTCCCGTGATCAGGAAGTTGCACTTTCCCCCACACCTTTACTTTATTATCCTCATTGGATATCAGAGCTGGGTAGTGAGCTGGAGGGCTCCTGAGGAGGGATGGGTTTGCTCAAAGGAAAAGCTGAGATACTGCACATGCCACTTACCCGGGCAGCCTCCAATTCAAGAGGAAAGGTAGGGAGCTTCAGAGAGGCAGTGCTAAGGGTCAGGGCTTCTACATACCTTATCTTTCATTCCAACCTCCAGATAACTTTGTGAGGTGCATCTTCTAAATTCCAGTTTTACAAAACAAAAAAGTGAGGCTCAGAGAGATTCTTTATTTTGCCCCAAACCACACAGCTTCCAAGTGGTGGAGCCAGGACTGGAACCAGAGTCTGGCTCCCTGCACTCTCCATACCACCCCTCAGTCTTGGTCAGTCTGTGTTTCCTCTTTTCTCATTCCATCGTGGAACCCATCCTGGGGAAGGCTACAATTTCTTTCTTTCTTTTATGTACTATGCTTACCTCTCTGATCCCACAGCGTGCCTAGTAAGGTGCTCTGTGAACATGCGTGCCTAGAGGCAACATCCCTTCTTGCTGCCACATATGGATCTGGGACGAGTCAAGGCAGGGCTGGTGAGGTAGACTGTTGCTGCCGCCCCTGCTAGGAGATGGGGAGGGATTCTTCTGCCTGTGCCTTGCCTCAAAGGCATTCTCCAAGTCCTGTCCCCCTCGTGCTCCCCCCGCCTCCACCTCTCGCCCCTTGACTGCGGCTCAGTTCCCTCGGGAGCGTCCCTTATTGCGAGGCTGACAGCATCTGGGGGTGCAGGGTCCCAGGTGTCCGTGCTCTTGCCCATCTGTGCGCAGAGCCTCGTTCCGGGAGCGCCTGGAGCCCGGCGGGCATTGACGTCAAGCGGCAGCGGATCGCTGCCTACAGACGGCTGACCTGGACCCTCCTCCACACCCCCGTCCTTCCTTGACCCCCTCCCTCTTCCCCGCTCAGGGCTCTAGCTCGGTATAAAAGGCGGGAGCGCGGGGTGCCTCAGCAGCGGCGCCGAGTTTCAGCACCATGGAGAGCACCCGCTTCCAGCTGCTGCCCCTCCTGGGTGCTGCCCTGCTGCTGCTGTTACCTCTGCTGGGCGCCCGTGCCCAGGAGGATGCTGAGCTCCAGCCCCGAGCCCTGGACGTCTTCAGCGTGGAGGATGCCTCCCATGAGAAGGAGCTGGTCGGTATCCCCTATACCCCAGACTCCCCTGGCTTGCCGCGCGGTCCCTCCTTTGTACCTCCTCTCTTCCCTCCTTCCCACCCCGTTCCCAGAGTCAGGCGTGGGGAGATGAGTGAGAAGTCCGGGCTCCTTGTCATCCTCCCGGCAGTCTTGTCCCACTCCCCTGAGCAACAGGAGCCTCCCTCACCCCCCCCCCCCACCCCGGGCTTCCGGACCTGCTGTCAGTACCTGGGACAGCGCTCCCCAAGTTTCCTCCCCTCTAGCAAACCTTTTTGTCTTGGTGTCACAGGGTGGAGTGTGTGTGGTTCTGGGGATCCTTAAAAATAGGGCTGGAAGTGAGCACCTGGGCTGGGCTCGCAGCCAAGGCGGCAACTTCAGGCTCTGGGGTGGCGGTATGTTGCAGATCGAAGCGCTGCAGGAAGTCCTGAAGAAGCTCAAGAGTAAACGTCTTCCCATCTATGAGAAGAAGTATGGGCAAGTCCCCATGGTAAGGCTTTGGAATCACTCCCTTCCCATGTTTTTCCAAGAGGAAATATACCACCTGGAGGCTTAGACACGCCTTCTCCCTAGGATGTGGCTAAATAATTCAGGAAAGGGGTTTGCAGAATTCTATGAGGTCCCCTTTGTTTTCACCACCAGCCCTTGTCCTTGGTCTCTAAGGGCAGATCAGACTTTTCAGAGGAGCGAACAGCACATGTCAGGAACCAGCTCTTGTGTCTGGGTGGAATGGAGTGTTTTCTGAAGATAAGCTTTTTTTCACCTCACGAAGAATTGGTTCTTGTTCCCCCAGTTTTTTTCCTGCCTTCCGAACCCCTGTCAGTTGTTTTTTTTTTTTTTTTTTTTTTTTTTTTTTTTTTTTTTTTTTTTTTAAATCTAAGTTCTAGAATAAAAATTCTTAACCAGGGCTTGTCATCTTCCATGGAGAACACACATACTTAAATCTTCCTTGGGATGAGGGGCGAGGGGCAGAAAGCAAGGAGCAGAGGTTGTGAGAAAACAGAGGTCTATTGTTTATTTCTTAGAAAAAAGGTCTGGTTGATTTTTTTTTTTTTTATCATCTGGATAAGCAACTAAAGGACCCAGGAAGTGTAATCCAGCTCGGAATGTAGGAAGGGCTCAATAATTTAAATTTCTTTTTATGTTCTCTCACTGAAATTATAAGCACAAAGCTCTCTTCCCTGTTAGGCCTGACTATACTTAGACCTCCTGTGAGGATGATAGGGTCCTCATGAGGCAGAAACTGTGTTGATGGGGAGCATAGCCTTTGGGTGCCTGGATTTGTGCATTCCCACGACCACACATTGTGTTGCTTGCAGTGTGACGCTGGTGAGCAGTGCGCCGTGCGAAAAGGAGCGAGGATCGGGAAGCTGTGCGACTGTCCCCGAGGCACCTCCTGCAATTCCTTCCTCCTGAAGTGCTTATGAGGCGTCACCCTCCTCCATCAGTCCCCAGACCCCCTGCTTCCCCTCGAGAACCGCACCTTCACCTGTGGAGTTGGGCTTTAGCAACAAAGTTTGCATTTCTCTCTGAGGGTGAAGGGGCTCTTTCCCTGATGTTTTCAAATAAAAGAACAACATCTTGTATGCTTGTATGGTGTTGATGTGTGTACAAAAGTTTTCTTTTTAAAATTTTATTTGTCTGACAAACTCTTGTGTATTCTTTGTAAAGCAGGGGAACTTTGCTTTGAAAATTGTATTTTCCTATGTGGCATGGCAGGATGAAAATTAGATTTGGTGAATGTTGGTAGATGACAGCACAACCTGAAAAATAAATCACCCAAGCATCACCAACTGAAGCATGTACAAATTATACATAATGATTTTTTTTCCCTGCCTTCCGAACCCCTGTCAGTTGTTTTTAAATAATTGCTCATACTGCCCTGGTCGGTGTGGCTCAGTTGGTTGAGTACACCCAGAGGTCTTGGGGCTTGATCCCTGGTAGGGGGCATGCAGGAGGCAGCCAATCAATGTTGTTGTTTTTTCCTCTCTCTCTTCTTATCCTTTCTTCTCTCTCTCTAAAATCAATAAAAGCAAATAAGTAAAAAAAAAAAAAAAAATTGCTCATAGTGCATTGTTGTTTCTACATAGGTCATTTAAATATGAATGATGGGCCGAAACCCATCATTTGGCTCAGTGGATAGAGCGTCGGTCTGTGGACTTAAGGGTCCCGGGTTGGATTCTGGTCAAGGGCATGTACATTGGTTGCGGGCACATTCCCGGTGGGGGGTGTGCAGGAGGCAGCTGGTTGATGTCTCTCTCTCATTGATGTTTCTAGCTCTCTATCCCTCTCCCTTTCTCTCTGTAAAAAAAAAAAATCAATAAAATATATTTTTTAAAAAATAAATAAATATGAATGAAAGGATTAACCACGCAAAGGCTCATCCACCTCCCCAAGGAGAGGCAGAGAGCAAGGGCCCTGAGATGGTCGGTGGGAGTGAAACCTCTCAAATCACATCATGATCATCAGAGGAGGGTTTTTTTGTTTTGTTGTTGTTGTTTTTTTGTTTGTTTGTTTTACATAGGAATAAGAAAGAGAACTTTTGTTTTTACTTTGCACTTAGTAAAGACTGTGAGAAAGAGAGAAAAAGTATGCGCCCATGTGCTGTGCTGGAGAAGGGCTAAAAGAGAAGACGATTGGAAAAAGAATTTAGGGAAGAACATAAGCTTCTAATGCGAATTTACCCTGTTATCTGCAATATGGTGGTGTATAGTGGAAACCTCTTTTCTTGCTCTCCAATGAATTCTTCAGTAAATTCTTTGTTATTGAAACTTACAATTGATGTAGCTTTATTAAAAAAAAAAAAAAGCTTATCAATATTACTTTTCTTTACCCAGTGTCTAGGTTGATAAGATAGGTGTATCCATTCATTTATTTCTTTAGTTATTACTCAGTAAACATTGTGAGCACCTACTCTGTGTCAGGCACTGTGCTAGGCTTCAGGACTATAGCAGAGGAGAAATCAGTCAGGACTGCCACCCTCAAGGAGCTTATCATCTTATTTAATAACAAGGCTGTTTAAGTGGCACCCATACAGGAAGACCCCGGGAGGGAGAGAGAGTCCTACCATGGCACTGGATCCCTCTCTCCTGGGTATCTGTCCAGATCAGCTCTTCTTTCACCTGTTCCCACATGGCACTCCTCACTCTCATTTTGGTGGTCCCCTTTGTCTGTATATCTCCACTCCTGCCATTTGTTTCCAATCCTTTGCCTCTGATAATCCAGACACACTTCAGCATTGATCTAAACCAGTTCTCAGTTTTACCCTCTGGCCTCCAATCTCTGGCTGCTGTGGGAGACATACCATCTCCTCCCTGCCAACTTTCCAGCAGGTCCCTGGGAGCAGGCTTAATTCTCACTTAGCCATTCTATAGGGAGAATCTGATAGTGTTTATCATTTACCAGAGTGACTTGCATTTAGTTTTAATCCAGGAACTCTTCTGCAGGAAAACCCAGTCTGTTTGGATGAGAAGGGCTGAAAATGTATGTTGGTTCTGGACGGCTGCCAAGCTGGTGTGGCTCAGTGGTTGAGCATCAACCTGTAGAGGTGTTTCTCTATGTGGAGGTGTTTCTCTCTTTTCCATGTCCAGCACAGAAAATGAATGAGTCCAGTTGCTGAGTGGAGGAGCTGGGGAATTAAGAAATAAAGGAAAGAGCTGGAACTGGTTTGATTCAGTGGATAGAGCATCAGCCTACGGACTAAAAGGTTTCAGGTTTGATTGCAGTCAAGGGCATGTACCTTGGTTGCGGGCACAGCCCCAGTAGGATGTGTGCAAGAGGCAGCTGATCGATGTTTCTCTCTCATTGATGTTTCTAACTTTCTATCCCTCTCTCTTTCTCTCTGTAAAAAAAAAAAAAAAAAAAAAAAAATCAATAAAATATATTTTAAAAAAAGAAAAAAAAAAGAAAGAGACAAGTTGCAGAAATAGAAGCAAGCTGGGTGCTAGGTGGGATGCCATTCTCTGTGATGGAGAGGCAGTGACAACTCAGCCCACGCAGCACATTTATTTTATACCCCCAAATACCAGGAAGTATCACCAAAACTTAGGATCAAAGAAGCTTATTTGCATTCTTAAGTAGTCCCTAGCATTACTGGATTTACATATCTAGATCCGCCCCTGCTGACACCTGGACAAAGGTAAGAAATCAGAACTGATAACACCCCCCAACCCCCACCTTCTTGGGGTGGGGGTGTAACCGAGATGCGGCTTTGTTAGTCACCTTGGGCTCAGCTGACAACAATTTAAAGAATGTCCATGTGCCTTCCCAGGCGGCCCTCTACATCAACCTATGAACCAAGAGGTCATGGTTCAATTTACAGTCAGGGCATTTGCCTGGGTTGCAGGCTTGATCACCAGTAGGGGTATGCGGGAGGCAGCCTATCAATGATTCTCTCATCATTGATGTTTCTATCTCTCTCTCTCCCTCTCCCTTCCTCTCTGAAATAAATACATATATTAGATTCTGGAAGGCCAAGCTACACACACACACACACGGGGTCTGGCTCTGCGTCCACCATTCCTGTTTCCTCAGAGCACTTCCACACTCACCAGGGACAACTACCCACAAGGGTTGTCTGCTCTCTGGATGATTGAAACCATTAATAATTTACCAAATGCCAGCAACTGCCTTGCATTAATTATCACTATGTTAATGATATCCCTCAGGCAAAGAGAAGAATAATTTCCCTCCTGTGCAATGGAGACAGGCCATATTTCAGAAATAAATTAGGGGTGGGCGTTTTGCCTTGAATTCCTTTGAACTCTTCCTTTGCAGAGCTAAAGAATGTGGAAGTAGGCGTGATGCGATAAAACAAAGCAAGCAAAGATGCGCTTTGAATGTCAGTGTTGGTGTGATGTCAGTGTGGCTGTCATTCAGCCTGTCTGCTCTCTCACCGAGGAGACAGAATCACCTTTACTGGGATGTCTTCTCAGTACAGGTGGAGTCTTTCTTAACATATGACACCGAGAACTTGACACAGCCCTCTGAAACAAAACAGTCCTATAAAGCCTCTGATGATGCCATGCTCAGATCATGATTCTTGCTACCTAAGAAGGCAGTTCCTCCCTCCATTTAACTGGAATTTCTTGGCCCCAAGAGGGCTAACTGAGTTAAAATACATGAATAATACCGGAACACAGTAAGTATTCAATCAAGAAAAGCCTGCATCATTTCCCAAGCTCTGTGTTTGTGCCTGGCTTCTTTAGGATTTGTTTCAGACACTGTGGGACATAACAGCAGACTGTCAGGTCATTCCTGCCCTCTTAGCAAGAAGAAGCAAATGGGTGCCTGGAAGTAGTCTCTCAAATAGGGTATCCATGTCAAAACCTGCAGGGTAGCTTGAACCCGGATATGCCAAAAGTTTTACTAGGCTGTTGGATCCAGTGGGTACTTACAGGATCCTGAACCTGTCCTAGAGTTTAGCAAATTTTCTTGGGTGGGGAGAAGGGACTGTACATTGATCTAACACGTATTTGAGTAATAAGCACTGTTCTAGGTACTTCAATTTCTTTTAGATTTTAATTTCTAAGTTTACTTGTTGTAAGTCATGATGAGTAAAATAGAAAAGAAGAAAAAAGTCATCACTTCTGTTTATTATCCCAGACTGGGGCAGGGGGCGGGGATGTGCTCTCCTTCCTGAACCGTCCCCAGGAGGCTACTGCTGGTGTTCCCTGGGAATGTTCCAGCAGGAGCTGTCTCCTTTGGAATCCCCACTCTTCACACAGTGACTCAGGCTGGAGCCCTATGTTCCCTGGGGCTCCTCCTCTCTGCCCTAGGAAGACGTTGTATCAGTAAGTTTAGGCCAATATGGGAACCATAGGGGAAAGAAAGACTCCCCCTTTTAGGGGTGCGTTTTCCCACAGGTTTGTCTTTCCTTAATCACTTCTCATGAAGAATAAGAGAAGGTATAGGCCTAGAGACAGCGGAACAAGGAACCCACTCAAATGGTTTTAACTCAGGCTGCTTAGGCTCATCAAGATCAGTCAAAGTAAGACCCTCTGAAACAGGGTCTACTCATTCAGTTTTTTTGTGTGTATGTGTGTTTTTTTTTGTTTTTTTGGGGGCAAAGTTCTATCTGGTAATGCTTTTTTGACTTTATCTTCTGTGTTCATTTCCCTTATAGGGACCACGTTGGATTCTCTTAAGCCTTACCAGGTAGGTCCTGGAAAGTTTAAGGGTATCACTCATTTTTTTTCTCTATTTCTTTCTTTCTTCGACACACTGGCATATTCTGCAGACTGAGCTGGGTGTGTCCTCAGGGGGAAAGCCCTGTACAAAGGGCTCTCCCGGTGACACTGCAGAGCTCACCTGCAGCTGATGCGTTCGGGCAGTGCCACCATGGAGCTGTTGTGTTTGAGTTTGGAGAGGAGAGGAAGTCTTTTGGCTGAGGGCAGGTTTCTTAGTGATCTCATAGTGTCCATGCAGT